AATTGATCTGCGGGGAAAGAGAGTTCACATTCTTGTGTTGAGCATAACCGATTTTGTTCTTTAGTTCATTATAAGTAATATTTAATATAGTAATTGTGAGTTCCATCCTTGGTCCAGTTAATACAAACTTAGATTTAATGGAAACAAAGCAAACAATAACTGAGCAGTACTAAAAAAAAGAAAGAAAAAAAAAAGAGAGATCCCTGGACGTGGACAATAGAACGAGGATAATCTACCATCATAAATTGAATAAAGTGTTCAGTTCGAAATTCACTGAAGACACCTGAACAAGATAGGGTGGTGTAATGGCCTAAATGTTTTCAGGATAATAACAAAGATGAGGATATTAGTCTGAATATAAATGTAAATGATGATAACTCCTTATCCCAGAAATTCGGACAGATGGTAATCAAGTGATAATAGTAACAAAGATGAGGATATTAGTCTGAATATAAATGTAAATGATAACTCCGTATCCCAGAAATTCGGACAGATGGTAATCAAGTGATAATAATAACAAAGATGAAGATATTAGTTTGAATATAAATAATGTAAATGATGATAACTCCTTATCTAGAAATTCGGACAGATGATAAAGTGATAATATTAACAAAGATGAGGATATTAGTCTGAATATGAATAATGTAAATAATGATAATTCTCCATTCCCGACATTCAAACTGAATGTTTAATGTATAAACATAATTTTTGCAGTGGTTCTTATCATTTTGAAAAAAATAAATATTTTTGGTTTTCAAGTTTAAAATCTCGAATTGCACGTTGCAATATACAGTATATAATAATGGGCCTTGTGATGAAATATTTAATACTGTGACCTAGTCTAGTGGCAGGATGTATAAAAATACAGTTCAGTTCATTTTGAGAGATCTCGCTTTATTCAGACCTATTATAGGAATTATATTTTTCAACCAATAAAATCCCATCAGAAGATTTTTTGATAAACAATCAATATTAGGACAGATACCGCCAAAATACTTGGCGAACGTAGTTGTAGACCTACCACGTGTTATTTTTGGACCATTTAAAAAATAATAATATTAATAACTCACTTCGCCAATCTCGCAATTTGAGAAAAAAATTTTAGCGAGCCAGTGTGAAATTATTTGCTAACTGATGAAAACCTTGTATTCAAAAAGTTCATACCTTTACGTGAATTAGATTTCGGATCCCCGTTACGGATATAAAAATAGAAGCCCGCTTCTCGGGATTCAAAACAATTACGGAGGCCTGTTTGATCTGCACGTTCGTACACACGCACACAATGGAAGGGACTGACAGCCAGCAGCCACCAACTAAGCCTTTTGTCGACGAACTCACAAACACATTAGGATGGTCGTCATAAAGTAAGTCTGTTCACACATTTCATACCGGACTAAGAACATTTAATTACTTTATAAAACAAATTTCACTGCAAGTAAAATTGAACATTTTATTGTTATTGTATATTTCTGAAAAGAATATGTTATTTCAACTGATGTTCTGCTTCTACTTTTCCTAAAAAAAAAAACAAAACAAAAAAACACCCTTTTATATGCTTTGTTTAAAAGCTGTGTTGTTAAAAGTTCGATATCCAGACACTCAGATAAAAACAAAAACCTGGGTAGACGGATCCCAACAATATGATAGAAGTCTTTCCTGAGTAAACAGTATCAGCACGATTCAACTCAAAAAACTCAAAGATCATGTAGGACACTAGTAAGGAAAACGCTTCAGAAGTAAATTCACACATCTATGTGAAATTAGATTTTGTGTCTCCCTTTCAGATATAAAAATAGAAGCATATAGCTTCTCAGGGCTCAAAACTATTTCGGAGGCCACTTTGATCGGCATGTGCATACACACCAGGCACGTGCCATCAGTAATTACTCAGGGTAGGCAGCTTGTGACCTTTATGTAATAAATCTACAAAAATTTTAAAATATTTCACATTTTATGCATAATAATCAGAGTCACCTTCATAATTTTCTTGGATTAGGTGCATGTTGTGCCACAGAAGGAAAATGTAGCTGCTGATCTATATTATTCAGGATAGGCACTGCCTATTTTGCCTACCTAAATGGCATGTCCCTGATTCACACACACGCTACACGCGCACACAATGAAGAGATGACAGCCAGTAGCCATCAACGAAAGTTTTTTTTCTACAAACTCACAAACACATTAGGATGACCGTCATAAATTAAGTCTGTTCACACATTTCATACCGGACTAAGAACATTTAATTACTTTATAAAACAAATTTCACTGAAAGGAAAATTGAACACTTTATTGTTATTGCATATTCCTGAAAAGAATATATGTTATTTCAACTAGACTGTCATCCCGCTCACACCCTTTCACTGTCGAAACTGTCTCTTCTACTCCAATAGCTTCATGTCTCGCACTTCTTGCCTGTGGAACTCCTTCCTCTTTTCCTGTTTCCCTGATAGCTATAATCTCCAACTATTCAAATGTAATGTCAACCGACGTCTCTAGATACCTTGATCTATCCCCTAACCTTCTCTTCATCCTTTCCTCTATCACTCCTATTTGCTCTCGCTCCAACTCTCTGTAACCCCTTGTGTGCTAATGACTTCCCGCCTTACTTGGGGTGAAACGCTAAAAAAAAAAAAAAAGAAGAAAAAACAACAACAACACAACAAACAAACAAAAAAAACTGACGTTCTGCTTCTACTTTTCCTCCAGAAAATAACCTTTTATATGCTTTGTTTAAAAGATGTGGTGTTGCTGTTAAATGTTTGCAATCCCGGCACTCGGATAGCAACAAAAAAACCTGGGTAGACGGATCCGGATACCATAATGCAAGATGAACAGATAATGTCGAACAAACGATGATGTCTTTGCATCTATAATCACCTGACCCCCCCCAAAAAAAAAAAGAACTAGTTCTCTTTGTTTTGTTTGACTATTTCCAAGATTGCGACGAAACAGCAAATAAGAGACCCGACCACGAGTTTTGGTATCTAAAAACTTTAGGAAGACGTACCACGTTTAAAGCTTGGTAATCATCATGTGTACTTAACTCACATGAAGGGTTCAACACATATGTTATTGATTGGCCCTTTGAGCACATCATCTGTAACTGTCAGGGCACCTCGGCGTGGTGTAATGGTTAGCAAGCTTGTCTTGCTAGAACAATTACGACTGAGTAGTGAGTTCGATTCTCACTGGATGCCCCCTTCTTTCGGCCTTGTGCCACATCTAAGCTACGCTTAGAAAATCATTTAGGAGCACCTCGGCGTGGCGTAATGGTTACCAAGCTTGTCCCTCTAGATCAATTATAACTGAAAAGTGAGTTCTTTCCTCACTAGGTACCCCATACTTTCGACCTTGTACCACATCAAAGCTACGCTTAGAAAATAACCACCATCTGTAAGTGTCAAGCCACGTGGCAGAATATATTACATCAGCCAGCTGTCCTTCTTCATGGTAGTGAATACTGGACAATCTCCTCAAAGATGAAGAAGAGACTTGAAGCAACAGAATGTGGTTCTACAGAAGGATGCTGAGGATACCATGGACCGGGCGTGTGACCAACGACGAAGTTTTAGAGAAAATAAAAATAAAAATGACACTTATACTTAAGTATTTTAACAGAGGACTGAAAGTATCCGAAGTCGCCTTGGGATAGCGAAAGATGCCTTCCAAAAGCTAAACAGGGTATTAAGAAACAGAAAAACGTCATTAGAAAAAAATAAAATAAAAGAAGAGTACTGAACTGTTACTTGATATCTATCATCCTATATGACAGCGAATGCTGGACGATCTCCTCAAAGAAGAGGAAAAGACATGAAGCAACAGAAATGTGGTTCTACAGGAGGATGCTGAGAATACCATAGACCGATTATATGAGCAACGACGAAGTTTTGTAGAAAATGGAAATAAAAAGGAAACGTATAGTTAACATCAGACAGAAACGGTTGAAATTTCTAGGGCATACAATGGGGAAAGAGGGCTTGGAAATTTTGGATGACGGAACAGGGCCTAGAAGAAATAGAAAAAGACACAAGGGACAGGAAGTTGTGGAGAGCTACTATCGCCTACATTCGGAGGGGACACGGTATGTAAAGACGAAGACTTTTTTCAATGTTTTTTTTTTTATAACGATTTGTCTTAAATAATAACTAGGTCCCTATGGAGGAAAGTGTTTTTTAACGATCCTCACTAGCCCGACCAGATAATTATTGGAGATATTTTTCATTTTGTTTTCACCCATTCATTCGTTTCCTTCTCCATTTGCCTTCGTGACACGCCAATGATAAGAGATACTGTAGATAGCAGATGACAGGGCTGAGCACAGAAAAGTGAACATATTTGTTTTCTTTTTACACTTCTTTTTGCTAATCTCCTTTCGAATATTAACGGTGCATTTCAAAATCAACATTCATTAGACTGACCGCCCTTGTATCCTCTTAGATCAAGTCTGGGATTCGTTTAATAATGATAATCATAACTTCAGTATCCGAGATAATATTAAAAGCGACTCGACAACACCTTTTAATTCGGAATTAGAGCTAATAAAGCCGCGACGACGAACGAAGTGCCATTAGCAAAGATAGATTTTATCTGAAAATATTTTTTTCTTTTCTCTCGAGTATCGTTAAGTTTGCCTAAACAAGAAGGATAGCTTTGTGGCTTCTTTCGACAGTCAGCCTGTTACACTATCATTGAACCATCCCTGAGAGTACTAACAGGAAGTGACCTTCAGCATTCTGCTGTAACCTCCATCCATATCAATGGTGTCTCTTCGTTACTAAGATCTAAAAAGTATATTCAGCAAGCCTCAGTAAACATGAATCGATGTCGTCAAAACGGATGGCATGAATCAACAACTTGCAATGCATCTAAAAGGTAATAGACGAGTGTAGTTGGTGAAGACATTTAATGAGAGAACAAAAAGAGGATTTGCATATAGAAAAGAAGGAAAATATCTTATATAAAAAAAAAACAATTTAAAGAACAAGGAATAAAGATGAATATTATATAGAAATGGGGGAAAAGAAGAAATAACATTGAAGAAAAAGGGAAAAACTTGAAAGGAGGAGAAAGAGGAATAAACTTGAAGGAGGAGAAGGAGGAATAAACTTGAAAGGAGGAGAAGGAGGAATAAACTTGAAGGAGGAGAAGGAGGAATAAACTTGAAGGAGGAGAAGGAGGAATAAACTTGAAGGAGGAGAAGGAGGAATAAACTTGAAGGAGGAGAAGGAGGAATAAACTTGAAGAAAAAATAAAACAGAAGTGAAGAAGACGAAAAAGATGAAACTAAAAAGGAATACGAACGATATGAAGAAGAAAACGAATAAAAAATGACGCAATATATTTGAAGGAGTAAATGGAAACTATATATAATTAGAAGCAAAAGAATTGAAGCAGAAAAATGAATAAAAAAGAAAAAGACGAAGAAATGGAATCGAAGACAAAATAGTAGCAGTAGCAGCCGAAGAAGAAGAAGAAGAAAAAAAGTAAAAGTAGGTAGAGGAGGATATACTAGTAAAAAAAAAAAATCGATGATAATTTAATCGATGATTTTCAAATCCCCCCACCCCCACAAAAGGAAATTATTTTGTAGACAAAAAAAATTAGGAAGAAGAAACAAAGATGAAGAATAAAAACAAGACGTGTAGAAGAGAGCTGAAGAAGATGAATAAAAAAAAAAGTAATAAGAAAAAGGAATAAACTTGAACACTAAATAAAATTGAATAAGGCGAAAAAAATGAAATGAAATGACTTGAAGAAGAAAAAGAAGAGCCGAAGAAGAAATGAGGAATCAGACGTGAAAATAATCAGAAGAAAAAGAATTGAATAAGAAAAGGATAAGAAAAGAGTCTAGAAGATGAAGAAAAGACGGCATCGAGGAAGAAGAAGATACCAGCTAAAAAATCGATGGTAATTTAATCGATAATTTCGTTTGCAGATGGTTGAGAGTGGTGGTGAGTGTAGAAATAAATAGATAGAAGCGTGAAGTAATATTTAATCGATGAATTTTAAATTCTTTCGCTTCGGCACGATAAAAAAAAAATCATTCTTCTTCTTATTATTACTGTTATTATTTATATAGACACAACGATGTTGATGATGATAAGGGACAGATAGAGGATGATGACGACATGAAGAAAAAAAAAAAAAAAAAAAAGAAAGAAAGACATGAATCGACAGCTTAAATAGTAAAACATGAAGTTCTTTAACTCGCTTGTTCCCTCTTCTTCGTTCGTAGCGGCGTTATCCAAACAGCTGCTAGTAAGTTCCGTCATCAGTAAATGAATAACACGGGAGGGGAAAAAAATCTGCTGCCGTGTAGTAAGCACGGTGAGTGAACACAGCTTTTTGCTTAGACATTAAAGCCTGCATATGTTTAAAATCATTTCCTAAAAAGGAAAAGAGGGGGAGGGAGTGTTAAAAATTAAATCTGAGAAGTTCTCCGGGATTTCATAGTTCTGTGGCGCTTCCTCCCAATAGCTAAGAAATAAATTTTATTTATAAAATATAAGCATGTTTCTTTTCGCGAAGAAATATACGTTCATTCGTAAAATTAAATAAATTTCGGGGGTTACTCCACTTTTGTCTGCCAAGACACCCGCTAGGAGGCCTTTCCTTCAGGACTATACGAGAAAGGAACATAAACAGTATCGTTCTCTTTCTGCGCCGAAATGGAGTAACGACAACACGAAATTTGTCTCCGCTAGGCGAGTTTTCTTCCCTCGGCAAACCGACTACTTAATATCAAACAAAACATGTAGACTCTCACATGTATGCACACACACTACGGTTAGGTGCCTAAATGTTCACATTCCACTTTTCTTTTTTTAAGTCAACCATTCACCCTTGCATGGAGTATTGTTGCCATATATGGTCTGGAGCTCCTTCTGTTTGTTTCAAGGTCCTTGATAAAATCCAGAGACAGATATGCAACGTAATTGGCCCTGATCTGACATCTCGTCTGCAGTCGCTCTCTCACAGACGTGCCATAGACTCCCTGTGTCTTTTTTACAAATACTTTCACGGTAACTGCTCCGATGAGCTGCTTTGGCTGGTTCCCAGACTTCATGAATTTAAACGTTCTACTAGGCTGGCATCTCGCTCTCATCCTTTCACTGTCGAAACTTAAATGTGGCCATCTCTTCTTCTCCAATAGCTTTATGTCTCAAACTTCTCGCCTGTGGAACTCCCTCCCCATTTCTTGTTTCCCTGATAGCTATAATCTCCAACTATTCAAATATAATATCAATCGACGTCTCCAAATGCCTTGATCTATCCCCTAACCTTCTCTTCATCCTTTCCTCTATCACTCCTATTTGCTCTCGCTCCAACTCTCTGTAATCCCTTGCGTGCTAGTGGCTTCCCGCCTTGCTTGGGGTGAAACTCTTAAAAAACAAACACTCTGTATACACGTAAATATGTTTTTTAATCAGTTTTTGTAGATTAGCATTTATTACACTGGAGATACGGTGGAGTAATGGATAGCGGCTCGGATTGCGGAATCGGATCCATTACATTCACTTACATGTTAATACCCTTGGGAAAGATATGGATCCTCTTCTTCTCCCTACACCCACCAGCTGTGGGTAAATAGCAGGGCAGATTGGGTTCATTAGCCTTGGTTAGCAACCGGTCTAGGAGAACGAAACTGAATTCAAAACCGAGGTTTGGGCTCCGTCAGGCTATCTTGCCCGCGGAACACCACTTCTACTGCGGCCGCAGTACGTGTGGTGCCCCTACAACCCTGATGAGTCACGGGATTTGCGCGATTCATTAAAGCTTTCTCTAACCACGCCATTCTCCGAATTACCAAATATTGATGGTCCTTTTCATAATATAGATACAGTGTCAAATCGATCCCTCATTTCCTAAAATGCAAAATATTTTCATCTCGGTGTAACTGACGGAAGAATTACATGCTGGATTGTAAATACTTTGAAAGTTTCAGCCACGTGCTTCTTCACAGATAAAAAGGAAACTTGAGACTAAAGTAATGGGCTCTACAGAAGGATGTTGAGAATATCATGACTGGAACATGTGAGCAACGAGTAAATTTTAAGATAGATGTAAACAAAAAAAGACACTTGTACTTAAGATCCGAAAGAGTTGAAATTTTGGGGACATAAAACGAGGAAAGCGTGCTTAGAGAATTTGACACTCAGAGGATATATCAAAGGAAAAAGGGTTAGTAGGAAATATCGAGTAACTTGTGTCAATAGATGGCAAAGCGGGGAATGGAAAGAATAGTAAAAAAAAAAATAAATAAATATTACTAAGCTACAACGGACAGGAAGCTGTGGAGAACCATTATCGCCATCATCATGAAGAGAACGCGGCACATAAAAGACGAACAAACACGCAATGATCTGACGATACAAATCGTGCATCAAAGCGAGATGACGACCAGCACTGATTCCAGTCTGCCATGTTCTCAATGAACTCAAAGTACTGAATAACCTTTAACAATTCACTTTGACAGTACAATACAAAGCTGAGTAAGTCTATCGCGGTTTTTAAGATGCAACTCTCCTTCCCACCTCCATCACGTTGAAATGGAGCTAATAGTGTAACTGGCTCTTTATCCAGAAATTTTGGAGAAAGAGAAATTGCTTTTAATCCCATTAATCTTTGATCATTGAAGTAGGTAGTATAGAATCCGAACGTAGAAGTATCTCCCAACAAGACATGTGAGAGCCCTACTTTTATGACCGTCTTTTAAATCTATTATGGATCTTCTTGACGTGGGAGTGCATGGCTTTCCACAACTTTCTATCCTTTACAAATCTTAGTGATGTTGATCTCATTTCTATTCCAACCTGATTTGCCCTCCACTTGGGCAAATTCGTAAGATAGCTAACTCGTTGTACATCTACGTTTTTAAGGACCTAATCTCTATCATTGTCCTTTCATTCATTCAACACTATACATTACACATACAATTTCTCGGTGATATTTTTTTTATTGCTTTGCTAGTTTACAGTAGGCGGGGGTTGTCTAATGACTTTCAGGCTCAAGTCTCTAGTACTCACCTTAACGCTCTAGCCATCTTCATCATTGTCGCGGTCTAAACGAATTCAACTATTTCTCGATTATGCAGATCTTACAATTCTGCTTGTTAGTTTTAACGAGTTCATTCAGTATTTCCAACCCTATTTAACAAGCTCAAAACACTGACATATATCCCACAGGTTAGAATCTTAGTATATCTTTCAATTTTTTATCCTTTCCTTCATGATTACTGTTCCTTAGACACTGTAACGGGGTTATGAACCTCTTCTTCGAGAAAATGATTCTACTCTTGCTCTCGGCATGTCTTGTGAGTGTCAAATTCTTTATGCCTTCTTTCCGCATTATGCATCCCAGAAATTCCAATTGTCTTTTTCTGATTCTAGTTGTCCTTTTTGTTTCCATTTTTCTTAAGACCTTCTCGTTGCTTACCCGTTCGCGTGCACGGTATTCTCAGCATCCTTCTGTAGAACCACCTCTCCGCTGGCTCAAATTTCCTCTTAATCTGTGAGGAAATTGTCCATCACTAACTGCCATATACGAGGATTCAATTCAGAGCTCTTTTCATTGTTTATAAGAAAAAAAATTCCTGTTTCCAAATACTTTGTTTCATTTTTAGAAGTCATGTTTCGTCATTCCAATGTTCCTTCGACTTTCTGTGTCATATCTTCCGTCGTCTGCTAAACGCTTTCCCATCGGTCTGCCCTGTCAAGCAATCACGCCGGTGTTTCATATATATATATATATATATATATATATATATATATATATATATTTGTTCCTCTTTTAGTTTCAAATTAACACTACATTCTTCATATAACTTCAATGTCATAAGGTTAATATTCGGGTTTAATTTTATAAAACCTCTTCCCTCCCCTATCCACAGTCTCGTGCCTTTCGTCTGATGGAAATATTCCCGCCATTGTTTTTATAAAATGGATAAATTCTGTATTTTTTTTTTGTAGCTGTCACAGTTAAATTTCTAATTCTGACGAACTCAGTCTATATTGGGGTTGAATAAGACTGACGATTTTTTTCGTTGGTCGAAATAACCCTGTTCCCCGTATGAGGCAATTTTGGATTTTATTGTGCAATTATTTGCCCTGTAATAATAAATACATTTAGTTCTTTTTGTGGATCAGTTTTAATATTTTATATTACTAGGATCCACTTGGATTATATACCAACGGATTTATTACCTCTACCTTGTGTGTGTGTGTGTGTATATATAATTAATGTGGAGAAAATTAACACTTAACTGAGTGGCCTTGGTTCAGTCATGCCGACTTAGAAGTTTCGTGAATTGTTTATTAATGTATTTTACTTTTATTATTATTTTATGATGAATCTTTAATAAAAGTGTAATATGTTAAATTGATAAACTTTTTCTATTTGTTCTTTATCCTATCATATATAGCATTCGATAACCCTAGTTATGTTGGTCATAGTCTGATTGGAACTCGATAGCATAGTTTTGAAGGATTATTATGCTAACCATTAGTAAAGTAGCTGCTCATAAATTCATAGGTTAAAATTCGGCCCTGAAATCGTTACGAATGAAGCTTCTCGACACTTGATTGGAAATTCAGTTCGCTCGAGTTGGATTTTCCTATCTTGTGTTCTACCTTGCCTGCAGGAAATGGATGTTCTAAGGAATCAGGAATCAATATGTCTGTCTTTGATGCAAGAATAATTGAATAGATTCTCCTCAATCTCAATGAAGGTGTCAAGCTGCCATTTCTCATCGCGTTCGCCATCAGTAAACATCTAAGCATTTAGTCATCATCAACAACGACAACAACAAAGAGACTGTTTGATGCGCATGCGCTCGAATACACGTGTATGCCTACAGGTGCACCCAGGTGCATAAATATTCAAGCGTGCATTGAAGTCTGGCCTGATTTTTGTGTTTCGGAACAGCATTTACTGTCTTCTTAGGGACGACGGATTAGTGCACCACATTTGTCCGAGAAAACTCACCTCTCCTACCAATATATTCTCTTACGTGCCATTTCCTTTCAAGGTCTTCTTTCCTCATTATGTGCCCCAGAAATTTCAACTGTCGCTCTGTCAGGTAGTTAGCTTGTAGTTCTTATTTTCCCGCCTTTCTCGTTGCGCACATATTCTGCCGATGGTATTCTCAGACTCCCTTTGTAGATCCAACCATCTTGCGCTTCAAGTCTTTTCTTTCTTGAACTTTATTCCTAATCGGTGTCACATCATGCAAGGCAGTAAAGCCACTAAAAACACGGGCAGGGGGGGGGTTACA